AAATTTCCTGACAGTTAGAACAATTAATCAGTGGAACAGAAGTTGCCTCCAGAAGTTGTAAATGCCCCAACCCTGGAAGTCTTTAAGAAGATGTTGGATAACCATTTGGTGTAGGGTTTCCTGCCGAAGCAGGGGGTTGGACTAGAAGACCTCCAAGGTCCCTTCCAACTCTGCTATTGTATTGAATAATCAAGGAGAGAAGCAACCCCAAACTAAGGAGAAATCCCTTGACTGGACTTTCTTAAGTTTTATTTTTTGAAAATGTTTTGCTTCTCATCCAACAAGCTTCCTCAGTTCTGGAACTGAATATGTTCTTGGAGGAGAAGCGAAATGTTTTTGAAAAAAATAAAAAAATAAAATAAAAGCACCTTCGGGTCCATCATTTGCAACTGCAAAAAAGATTTTGATACAGTTAATGGAGCAACTCTCTATTGATTTAGCTTTCCTTTTCTTTACTCCAATGCCTTTCCTTTCCTTACCTCTTTAATTGCTTTTTTTTTTAACATGTCACGTAAGGTGGCTGACCTGAAAACGGAGCAGTGTGGCTGGACCAAATTAGATCAATTTTACTGTAATTTAAGAGCCTTCAAAAACCCAGCTCTGCCCTCCTTACCTCATCGATCTCCTTGATCCATCGGTCTATTCCATCAAAAGACCAGCGATTGGTGATGTCGTACACCAAGAGGATGCCCTGAATGAAGCAAAAACACACCGTTTATTGATATATTCGTTGATCAAATTAATACGGCGGCCCATCTCACAAGAGGGGACTCTTGGGTGGCCTAGCCAACAGCAGTGGTCCCTAAATCTGTGGTCTGTGGCCCACTATCAGGCTGCGGTCTGTTGGCCACCGGGCTGTGTGAGTGGCTGGCCACACCCATACCCACCTTGCGCTGGCAGCACTGCAAGCTTTGTAAGGGTGCTCGCGGCCACGCTCGTTGTGCGTAAAGGCACCTGCCCTTCCCCTTCTCTGGACCACCATCCCAGAAAGGTTAAAGGTAAAGGTTCCCCTTGCATATGTGCTAGTCGTTCCCGACTCTAGGGGGCGGTGCTCATCTCCGTTTCAAAGCCGAAGAGCCAGCGCTGTCCGAGGACGTCTCCGTGGTCATGTGGCCAGCATGACTCAACGCCGAAGGAGCACAAAACGCTGTAACCTTCCCACCAAAGGTGGTCCTTATTTTTCTACTTGTATTTTTTACATGCTTTCGAACTGCTAGGTTGGGAGAAGCTGGGACACGTTAGGGGAGCTCACTCCGTTAAGCGGTGCTAGGGATTCGAACCGCCAAACTGCTGATCTTTCTGATCGGCAAGCTTAGCATCTTAGCCACTGAGCCACCTTATTAGGCAGCTGTAGAAATTGAATAAATAAATAAAATGAGTAAAACCTAGGTTTGCTCTGCCAAATGGCATCTCCGTGTCAAAATGTCTTTGCGCTGAAGGCGGGCACGGAAGCTACCAGCCCTTTGGCTCCCATGTCATGCCACTGAGGTGATTTCTTTGAAGCGGCAGAATAATTGTGCCAGGCAAGAAAGCGAACTGCCAAATGCAGAAAGCTTGACTTTTCG